GATGCATCTACAAAATTAGATTTAGTCAGATTTGAAGCAATAATTTTCATAACAGAGTGAGGCAAAAGAAGCATAAAATTTAGCAAATAACAAGAGTGACATAGGAAGCATGAAATGAGTGAAGCAAAAGAGGCTAGAACTACCATTGCTAACTAGGCTTGCGTCCTACAGTCAACTTGGCTCTGATACCAATCTGTCACACCCGATTTTAAGGATAAAATGGGATGCATAATCTTATGTACGTCCAGAGATCAGTCACACACATAAAGCCGACAAATTATAAATAGTATCATCACAAGTGTTTATTACATCACGAATAATAAGACATAGTTTTCACATAAATGTAGTGGAAGTATAAAGAAAAATCTCTCACGGAAGCTCCATATCACAGGGACGGCAACTGGTTGACCACAAGTCTAGTAATCCTCTAGAAAGTCGTCGTTACCATAGCCATCTGTTATCCATCTGGGATTTTTATCCAAATAATGAAAATAAACAAGCGTAAGTACGGTTCGTACTTAACAAGTGTAACATGTGGTTCATAAGGCTAAAAAGGCTTGACACAGGTTTAACAACATTCAACTTTTAGTTGTCATAATTTGAGCATAAGAGTAGCAACAAGTTGTTTCAATCCTAAAGTAAAACACATGATCAATGTAAACATGAATAATGAATAGCATAAACGGATAATTCTTAGTGATCATCTATTCCGTAAATGTTCCAAGGCCGCTCATGACCGTGAGCACGGCTGATATACCAATTTTACACTCTGCAGAGGTTGTACACTTTTACTGTGAGTTGTGATACCCATATGCCCAGGTTAATTACTCCCAAAACACTTCCAAGGTGAGCAGACAATGTTCACTATGAAGCCTTTCAAAGGCTCGTCTAACAGGTTAGGGTTATTAGATTCACTCGACAAATAGATGTAGAGCCCCCCTTCCCGATGACACATTGACACGCAACCTATACACATGGGGACAGAGGCCGCACTATACCCGATTCGACAAGCCATTCTTACATCAATAAAGGTAACCACTAACAAGCTAGAAAAGGTCCTCATACTAAGCTAAAGCCAGAGCCATGTAGGCCTCACAGCTGTACTGTAAGTCCTGGATGATCACTTACAGATAAGTCCTTAGGGAGAGGAATCTAAAGCATTTAGAAAGTAGTTAAATACTCCAGCCCCCTGTTTTCCAAGTTGCTAAAAAGTCATATTTTAATGTTTATTGCATATACCATTAGTCAAGTTATAAGATCATGGTTTAATTGAGCACTAGCAACGCTACCCAATGCATATCCCATAGGAGACAAGGTATAAGTTCAATTCTAGAGAATTCCTATCAAGGTGACACATGCAACATGAATTAAATGTATTAAAGTTGATAGGAAACAAGGATAATCCCATGATATACTTGCCTTGAACAATGTGCTCCTACTGATCCCGCTCGTCAAAGTAGTACTCTTGATCACCCACGAATTGCTTACTGTCTATACTCGATAATCACAGCAACATACAAGCATCCAGAAGCAATCATGCATAGCAAACAAAGGCTATAGATTAGAACAGTACACCAACAACATAGAATCAAGATGAAAAGTTTGTAAAACGAATCTACGTCTCACTACGAACACACAGACGCGAAGATCACAAAAATCGGAGCTAAAACGGAGAAGTTATGAATTAAACAAAATTTTCTTTAATAAAATAATAGATTAAATCTAACCTCGAATTGAAAACATATCTAATAGTGGGATGAACATGAAGATTACGGAATTACGAACCTAACACAACTTGAACGGACCAGATCAGAGTTAAAACGAAGATTTTATGGCTTAAACAAGATTAGTGACAAAACTGTAAATAGTTGAAAACGTATTTTGAATTTAATCCGAATGAAACAACGCTTTCTAAAGAAGAAAACGTATTATGGATTTGCACATTGGACTGCGGGTTGAGATCCAAATAATTATAAGGGTCTTTTTACAAAAAAACGACAGGCGAAGGGGTATGGTTAGATTTGATCCATTGGATCATGATTGAATGGCGTTGATTAGATCGGGGAGGGAAGAAGAGAGTGTTGTCGCCGGGGAAGGAAATCGACGGCGGCGACGGCCATGAACGGCGACGAGAAGCTCGCCAGCAAAGCGAGGGCACAGGGAGAAAGAGGAGATGACGACGAACTCACCTAGATGGAATACCAAGGCGGGGGACCGACGACAACGCGCGGCGGCTGCGCAGAACCGACGGCGGCGGCGGAGCTTAGGGTTGCAGCTTTGCTGCGGCTCGGAGCGAGGGCGACGCTGGCTCTAGGCTTAGATAGGAGTGCGGCGCAGCTTGGGGCAGCTATTTATGAGCGGGGTGGCGTGGAGTGCACGCCAGCGGGCGTAGCGGAGGTGGACTTGGCGGCGGTGTCCGGCTCGGACGGAGTCCGGCGTGGAGACGAGCCGGAGAAGAAGATAACCCTGACACGCGAGCCCGGGTTGTTAGCGAGACAAGTGAGGGAGGAGAGCGCGGGCAGCTGCGCGGGCCTTCGGCTTGGCTGGACCACGGCGAGAAGAAGAGAGGAGCGGCCCGAGAGGAAGGAAGAGCGGGCGGCACAACTGCTGGGCTGCGGTGGCGTGCTGGCTCAAGCGGGGAGATGGCGGCCCGAAGTGGCGCTCTGGCCCAAGTGGGGAGAAAAGGGGCCTGCGGTGGTGGGCTAAAGACCGAAGAGGGTGAGGGGAAAATATATTTTCAGAACCAATTCTAATTCAAATTTAAATTTTTTTGAAACTTTGATCAAAACCACACATCACAAAATAATATGCAGCGGCATGTATGTACCAGCATGTAGGTAAACCCTATAGTTGATTTTAATTAACAAAAATTATTATTCCACAAGGTTTAAATGCTCACACCAATGCATAAATAAATCATTTTCTCCTATTTTAAAATCATGTAAATTTTAGGGTGTTACGTAAAATGGCACGTAATCCATAGTTATATTCTTTTAGGGACAGAGGTAATACAAACACTATGATCAGTACTCAAGCAGTACTTCTGTAACCGCGCTGTGAACGCAGAAGCACCACCAGCACTCATCAAGCACCATTGGAAATTTGAAATCAAGCTGTCATAACTGTAGCCTTAGCTCTAGAAGTGCAACTGAGCACTCCCATAATACTACCAATACCGAAGCATATGCCGATGTATGTATTAATTCTTTTTAAGGAAAAGCGTTCTGATGTGTATTTTTATAAGCTTCTTAATGTGCTTCTCTGATCCGTAGACTCACGCTACTTGCTACTAGTACTTGAGATCGTAGCTGAGGCTGCTGGGTCCGTGGCTCCGTGCCTGTGCTCCCCAGTTGCCACTTGCCACTACTGCAAGTGTGCAGTTGTGCACTCGTCGTCTCACCGACTCGCCGAGCTCCTTCCTACATACACCTGCCGCAGCCAGCAGCGCGCGCTAGACTGGAAAAACGCTAGTCACCCTTGGTACTGTTGAGTGTTGGTGAGGTGAGCATGGGCATGATGCTAGTGATCTTTGTGGAGGATCTGGATCTCCTGAAACGGGATGGTTTTCGACGGGCGAAGGGACTCCCTGCAAGAGGTGCTGCATGCCATTGTCCGAGATGTTGAATCGTGGGCATGTAGGTATAAGCCAATGAATACGATGTGCTATGTGTGTTATATACTTTTACTTTAATCTTTATTTGCATATAATGACTGTGTTCTTCCAAATCTATTAATAAAAAGGAAGATACTCCCTCCATCCTAAATTGTAAGTCATTCCAAGAATCTTGGAGAGTCAAACTTTTTCAAGTTTGACTAAAATTATAGAGAAAAACACAAAGATTGATGACATCAAATAGGTATAATATGAAAATATAATTAATAAAGAATCTAATAATACTTACTTGGTATGATAAATATTATTATTTTGTTATATAAATTTGGTCAAACTTGAAAAACTTTGACTCTCCAAAATTCTTGGAATGACTTACAATTTGGGATGGAGGGAGTACGTAATATTAGCTAAATTGAGTAGATATCCAAATGTGAATTCGAATCTGACTTATTTGTTTTGTATTCGTGCTCGAGAATATTTGTATATGTATTCGTATCTGGCAAAAAATAGATATCCGAACTGTATCAGTATTTGTTCCATCTCCACCCTAGTATACAATTATGCCGCAGGTGGGGTAACAATGGTTCTTTCACTTCTTTGCTGAACTTGCCTCGCCTCATCAGCGGTGACAATGAGGAACTTGCTAGCCGGAGCGAGCCGATTTGGCTCTCCTAAGACAGTAGGCTCACACATATATAAGTCATCATGATGAGAAAGGTTCACTTGACACTAAGGGCTAATTTGGAAGAAAGGAGGATGCACATCCAAGGATGGAAAAACCCCTTCATGAAAAACTAAATTGTTATTCAAATTATTTATCCATGGATTTCCCACTCTGAAAAAAGTTAGGGATCTAAAAGGATTTGAGTTTTCAAATTAGCTCTAAATACATTACTGGTTCGGCAAGTATATATAATGCTTAGCATAAAAACCAAGCAAATCCTAAAAACTTGTTTGGTTTGAGCCCAATCATAAATCATATATGGAGACATATATAATTTTGAAAGCCTTGGGCTAAGATTGGTGCATGGGCTGGAGGATGTCTCGGAGGCCTCAAACCAAATAGTCCCTAGTCAATCTCAAAAAAAAAAAAAACTGTCTCATTACCGACAAGTGGGACCAGAAAAAGAAAACATAGCTCTGACAGGAAGGGCCCATTGGAAGCCTCTCCTGACCTGCCCTCCGCTCCGAACCGACGCTATCCGCGTTGCAACGTGCCCTCTCTCCCCCCTTATTACGCCTCCGTGTTCGGGGATCCCCCGTGTTAGCCCCCTCCGCAGCGTCAGATCGTCCGTCGCTCGCCGAGCCCTAGCGCCGCCGATCTCATTGCGAACCGGAGTAGCACGAGAGCCTTGCGGATCGGTGTCGCGCCGCGGCGGCAAGAACGATGGCCGAGGAGGCCAAGTACCTGGAGACGGCGCGGGCCGACCGCTCCGTGTGGCTCATGAAGTGCCCCCCGGTCGTCTCCCGCGCCTGGCAGGCCGCCTCCGCCTCTTCCTCCGACCCCGCCAACGCCAACCCCGTCGTCGCCAAGGTCGTCCTTTCCCTCGACCTACTCCGACCAGAAGAGCCCCCCGAAGAGCGCCCCGAAGAGCCTACGCTCCAGGTAAGTATCCCCCCAATCCCCTCCACCCCGCTGGTCCCTTCCCCGTGCTTCGGCTATAGATTCTAGAATCTCCTCGATCGAACTGATGGGGAATTTTTGAAATTCCTGTCTTTGTAATTGGCTGCCACACTGAAGGCGTATGCTCGAACAAATTGTGAACCTGTTTGAGTTACTCCAAGGGTTGGGGAGAAAATGTGCATAGGAATTGGAGTTGTTTCTAGATTCGAGGACTGGTTTTGAATATATTTGGCACGAAACAGGCTGGTAGAGACTAGAGACTTACGAAACAGGCTGGTAGAGACTCATTGGACCACAGTAAGAACAAGAGGAAGAATCCCTTGTTATTGTGGACAAACTAAATTGATATTCAACCAAAGTAAGTGTGCATATTTCATTTGACTGCAAGCAAGTGTGCATATTTCATTTGACTGCATAGTTTCTGTGGTCTACATACGCTACATACCACACATCGGTTTTTGTTGAAAGTGATTGCAAATCGTTAGGTGACTAATTTTAAGAGCAGATGCCGTAATCGGATTCCTTGGTGGTTAATGCTGCTCATTGTGTGTTTGTTTCATGTATATCATCATCTCTGCTTTTGGTGCCTATCATTCTTACATCATGCTATTGCAATGACAGTTCAAGATGGAGTTGGCTCAAACTAACACTGGGAATACACCTAAGAGCTACTCTTTGAATATGTTCAAAGATTTCGTGCCTATGTGTGTTTTCTCCGAATCTAACCAAGGTAGGATCCAGATTCACAGCTTGTCAACTTTACATTGCTTAAATTAAATGCACGCCTCTCTATCTATGATTGAAATCAAGTTTACTGCTGAGACAGACATGATTTGCCTTTGTTCTTGCATGGCAGATATCCATTAATGCTTAGTTCTAATGATGCCATTTTATTTAGCACAGTGATTTTGTTTGGTACAATCAGAATAGTATATCCTCATATGTTTTAGCATTGTACATTTCTGGCTATATTCTTGTAACATTCTTGTGGGATAGGAATTCATTAAAATCTCTCTGTTTCTATATTATCTTTTACTCCCTCCATTCCAAATTATAAGATGTTTTGGCTTTTCTAGATACATTGTTTTTATTATGTATCTAGACATTGTGTATATCTAAGTGCATAGCAAAAACTATGAACCTAGAAAAGCCAAAATGTCTTATAATTTGAGATGGAGTACATTATAGTGATTTAGTCATCTGAAATAAGTTTGTGCAGTTAGGGTTAGGCATATGTGCAATTACATGTCTGACATAAATAAATGTGGTTTGATGGTTATTTGTTTACCACAATACTTCTAGAATTCTAGATCATTTGATTCACAGTAGGTTTGGTTCCTATATTATGTTAATATAGGGAAATTTTTGCTAATGCTAAGAAACTTCCACATAATTAGTGCATATTGACTTATCTTGTCTGAAAGTTATTTGGAAAGAGATAGGAAAATAAGGCCATATCTTAAGTTTCCCTTAAACGGTTAAACTTGTCTGAGCCAACGGTTTCCACTTTCCAGACTGATTTAATTATTATATTATGCTCGCTTTGGTTGCTAATACATGTCGTTTCCCGACAACCTAGTAGAAATAAATTAAGGACAGTGTTTTTTTACTCGTTTGCCCCATTATCTATTCACAAAGCTAATCTCCCAGACGGTCACCCTTCCCAGCAGATAAATGTCACTGTAGCAATGCAGTGCCCCCCCCTTCCATCCATGCGCGACCTAGCGTCGCTGCCGTGGTCTACATTCATGATCCATTGGTTTCCTCCCTTCACACACTGCTTCTGTGGCCTACAAGCATGATCTGTCGATTCCGACCTCCCTCATACACACACCGCCACTGCCATGATCCGTAGGCACAATCCTTCAAATTAGGGCTTCGGTTGCCTCCAGCACTTGATGACCTATGATTCTACAGTTGCTCACCCTTGTATGCAGCCATGAATCCACCTTTCCTAAGCACTGCGTGCTGTTGATGGTTGTTGACCTCCTCTGGTGTCCTGAGATCTGCATGCCACCACCCATCCACAAACTCCTCTGCCCAAATTGAAATCTTACAATAGGCAGATGCCTATTTCCCTCTTTCCCCCATGGAGTAATTTCTGCCTTAGTCTAAGACCCGGTGTGCCCTACCCTACTTCAATTTTGTGCAAGGAGCAGCACTTGCTTAAGCTGAAGCTTTTGTGAACCAGCTGGTCTGCAGGCATGTATTGTCTGTGGACGTTTGAGAAATCTGTCAGTTTTTGTGTGGGACGTGAGAAAGTTCGAGATGCCTGTTTGCCTTTCCTCATGTGGAGAACCACGTAGAAATCTGAGCTGGCATACAAGTTTGTGGGGACAAATTTGGACAGGCCAAATGCCCAAACATTATGTTTCTGTGATCATTCCAAATCTAGCTGCAGCATGATATATAAACAGCCAGAGGGAGTATTCTTTTTTGAATAACCAGCTGGCATCAGTGGGTGTTACTAGTAACTGTTTGCTTGCAGGTTTACTGATTGTAACCAGCTAGGAACCTTACCACTTCCCAGCAGTTTTTTCTTGTCTTTTCTTTTTGAATTGGTGTTTTGGTTCATCCAATAGTGCCCTGTTTGTTGCAGGGAAACTTTCATGCGAAGGAAAAGTAGAGCATAAGTTTGACATGGAACCTCACAGTGATAATTTGGTGAACTATGGAAAGTTATGCCGTGAAAGAACACAAAAATATATGGTTAAATCTAGACAAGTGCAGGTGGAGTTCTTTGATGGTTGAATTATTTTACCATATTATGCCATTTTTGAAGTATATTGTGGCTTACCAATATGACACTTTCTGATCACTTAGTAGGTACTTGACAATGACCACGGAATGAGCATGAGACCAATGCCTGGTCTGGTTGGTCTCATACCTTCTGGTTCAAAGGTAGTTTTGTCTTCCACTTAACATTTGAAATTATTCATTTTGCTGTCGTCTTTAATGAGAGATCAACATTTTTTGTGTTACCTAAATATGGTCGCTGCTTGGGAAAAAGTTTGCAGTGTTGAATTTTACTCTCCTTCTAGGTCTTCCATCACATTGTCGGTCTCAATCATGTCTTGTCAGTCTCTTTGACTTGCACTGCCAATTATAACATCTTATGACTTGTTGAACTTTTTGCTTGCCAGGAAAAGAAGAAGCAAGCACCAGCGAAACCATCCGATGTCAAAAGAACTCGTAGGGATCGCACGGAGATGGAAAACATTATATTCAAGCTTTTTGAAAGGCAACCCAATTGGGCCCTAAAGGCACTAGTGCAAGAAACTGACCAGCCAGAGGTATTTCCTTGTCTCTTCCCTGATATGTCAGTGGGGAAATGCTTCTAAGATATGCAGATTGCAACTACAGATATTTCTTTTATTGTTCTCTAACTGCTCATGTGGTTATTATTTATGTTTGTTTCTATGCAGCAATTCCTCAAGGAGATATTGAACGATCTGTGTGTGTATAATAAACGAGGACCAAACCAGGGAACGCATGAGCTCAAGCCAGAGTACAAGAAATCCACAGGGGACGCTGACGCTGCTTGAAGATGACAGACGATTTGTTGGTCTGACGTGCAGAATCGTTAGTTCTATGTTGGTAACTCAGGCCACACAAACACAAGTGTGATCCAGTTTCAGTTGTATGCTTTAAGAGGCGTTATTTGTAACAATATAAGCTGGATACACATTTGTTTTGGGAAAGGAAAAAAAAGAATTGAAACCAAATGTAAAGAGTCTGAATTTCCGGACAAATGTGCTTCATGGGTATCAAATTTAGCCAGTTAATGCAGAGAAAATGGACGATCTGAAATTTGAATGAGGGTAGCCATGGCTCCCGAATTTGAACGAACTTCATGGTGCTGTCTGCTAGAGCCACACATTATGCAGAATCATGAGAGTTGTCAGCATATGCATGAGTTGTGAACTTGTGATCCGTGTCTTCCATATTTGGGCTTTGTTCCTCCCCTAAAGTTTACTCCTTATCTTATCGAATGTTTGGATACATACGTAGTCTATTAAATATAGACTAAAAAATAACTAATTACACAGTTTTGCGACTAATTTGCGAGGCGAATCTTTTAAACCTAATTAATCAATGATTTGACAACGTGGTGCTACAGTAACATATGTGCTAATGATAAATTAATTAGACTTAATACATTCGTCTTGTGGATTACTCTGTAATTTGTTTTTTTTTATTAATATCTAAACAGCTCATGTAATACTCGATATGACACCCAGCACAGCATGCGCGCTGTCAGTGTCATCTGAGTTCCCTGCAGGGAGCCTGCGCCTGCATGTTCGCTGCGCACGCTCAGATGCCGGCTTGCCGCCTCCTTTCCGAGGGATCTCAGCGGCTGGTTCCACAAACTCGCCGCCGCTCTCGATTTCAGGTTTCCCAGCATCACTGAATATCCAAACATTTTCAAAATGTGGTGACAGATCACGTTGATAACATCTTCCCCATCCAGCCATCCTCAACTGCATCATCGCTTCTAGTACATCACTTCGACATTTTTCTTTGTTTTCCTCTTCAGTCTTCAGCCAGGTGCCCTGTAATTTAATTGTGTTTTTGCTACCATGTAGAAGTTATCAGTTATTGAGTATTACCAAAACACCGTTGGCTGTCAATTCCCTTCCCAATAGGGCAATTATCCTGAGTGGTTTTTTTTTTTGCTGAATTACTAGTTCAATTGCCCTTTTTTCTGATATCTGTATGTGTTCATATCAAAGTAGTAGATCACACAGAAGTTTCAGCAGTGATATTGCTACACACAGAAAGATATGGTGTTCAAGTTCAATAAACTGGAGAGTCAAGGGCAAAGGCTACTGAAGCAGCATAAAACAACACATAACAATAACATGCTCAAACTTTCATACTTCTGTGAGCTCTAGGAACACACTGGTGAACTGATGTTGTTTCAGACGTGCGGCCTGTGGTCGCCCTCGTCGTCGATGCGGAGGTTGACCTTGACCCCGTGGCTGCGCAGCGCGTTGAGGATGGCCATTGCCCAGACCTTGGTTTGGTTCTCGAACACTTTCTTCGCGACCTCTTTCTCCGCGTTGGCGTATATGGGCTAGCTCCCGCGCGAGGCCGAGGCCGTCCACCTTGAGGCGCATGGCGAGGACCTCGCCGACGGCTGCCGCCGCCTTGGCGTTGCAGGCGCGGCCGCGCTCCAGCCCGTCTCGCAGGGGCCGCTCCGCGGTCGTCACGATGCGGCCGCACTGCCGGTCCACCACGTTCGCCGTCACGTACTTGAGCGAGATGAAGAGGTGCAGCACGTAACGCTTCACGACGGTCATGGATGGATCGGTGGCCTCCCTCCGACTCTGAAGTCAACTGCGGGGTGGCGGAGGAAGATGGAAGTATGACTACGCGTGCGGCGGACGCGTCGGTAGCTCCGTGGCGTTTCGTCGTCGAACCGCTGGATGGTGCGGCCGTTGACGTGCGCGACGGCGCAGCGAACGGGCGCGTGGGCGCAAGCCGACGGCGGCAAGGAGGAGGCAGTGGGGTGGAATTGGTTGGGTTATCGCCGCGGCGGAGGCTCCCTGTCGTCGGGCTCACCGCCTCCGGGATGCGCCGATGCCTGGGCAAGGTTTTGCTCGCCGGGGAATGGTGCGCCGCCGTACGCGCGGTGCGCCTGCGCACGACGAGGGAAGAGGGAATGCCTAGGCCACTTGCGGTTGCGGCTGGCGCCTGGCGGGTCAGGACTCAGGAGTCAGGACCCTTTGCCTTGGCGTAGCCCAGCTCTTATAAAGAAAAAAAAACCCGGACCCGAAAGAAAAACAAACGAACCTCGGGAAACGGTAGCGCCGCCGTTTTTCCCGCTCGCCGTCTCCCTCTCCTATTAGCGCGGAGAGGCGCCTCTGCCCGCCGCGCCGGACGCCGCCACTCCAAAATCCAGCTCCGACGGCCCCTCCCCTATAACCGTACGGTACGTTCTCCATCTCGGTATGAACTGCAATCCCCATCTAAAACTGTTACCACCTCTGGCTTGCTGCGAAGGCATCCGCCGCGCAAATGTTGGATGCTTCTGTATGTAATCGGAGATGGGGTTCCCCGATTGATGAATTTGCTTGCACGGTTCGTGTTTCCCATCTTATGGCGCAGCAGGCAACTTCTATGCACCATGCACGAGAGGTGTTCGTTCATATGCCTGTGTGGCTTATCCTTGTCCTTTGATCTTTGCCTTGATGCCTCACTGGCTTATCCTTGCCCTTTGATCTTTTCTATGATCCCCCTTTTGAGTGACCGGATTGCCTTGATGCAAATTGTACAACTCGACATGGATTATGGGCGAGTATGGACAACAGAGAACATGTGGAAATGGGTGGAGGATGTGTTTGATACAACATGTCCGTGCTACTTGTTATGGGGAGCAATACTGTACTGTGCTGAGACTTAAACCCTGTATTATGTGTTAGCTTAGTTTAAAGGGATTGCCTCTAGAAAGGTGAGGAAATAATGGAAGGCCAATTGACAGTAGTGTGCTAGGCATATTATTTAACCAGAACAGAAACAGTTTAGTCTTGCAATACGTTATGCTGTCCAGTCCAACACTGGTATTGTGTGTTTAATAGAAAATGCTTATGTTGAACTACATTAAGGAGGGAAAAATAAGTGACTGGGTCATCTCTGCTCAAATTGCCATCCCTTGTATTCGAATTGTCCCCCCATTATTGGTCATATACCTCCTAATAATTAGTTCACGTTTTGATAGTTGTTTAATGAAAAGATGTGCTATCTGGGAATACAAACGATTCGCTCTAGTTTTATCAAAGCAGGCAGACCGCAGTCGACAGCTATCTGCAGTTTACATACAAAGTGTTCCTCAGATGCATATAATTATGAGTTAGTTATTCTGAACCTTCTCCTGTGAAATAATTTCTCACCATTCTGATCACGCTGTCCATGGTCAGTTTTTTTTTCTGACGTATCATTTTCGTCATGTTGTTTTTTTTACTGTTAAGTGTTAACATTAAGGTCATAAAAAGTTTTAAATGATACACTGTTAGCTTGAACAAAATTGCTCTGATGTTTTCTTTAAGTTCATGGATGAAACAAGAAAATCCCATTATTGTGTTTATGGTTATATCTTCTTCATTTTCTCTGTTCATGTAGTTTCACCATGACTCATGTCAGCACCGGATTGCTGAAGGGCTTGAGGAGGGTCATGGTACAGCAAAGGGTTTCAACTGGTAGGTATTTGGTTCAATTGTTCCTCAGTCACAAATTTCACCTAGCATAGGAACATGGAAACTGTGTTCACTGATCAATCATTTTATATGATACATACATTTACATTGACGTGCAAGATATATTAAACCTTTCTCTCTGCAGTTTTCTGCAGACAATCACGAGTTTGGAGTTCTACCGTATCTTTTTCTGATGTTGATGAGAAGGGTGATATGGAATATGATGATAATTATTCAGATTCAAAGAGAGAGTTACGACCCCAAAGCGTAGATCCCCAAAAGGGCTGGGATTTCCGTGGCGTGCACAGGGTATGGACATAAAAAATTGGATATCCTATATCTTTTATATGAAATTCTGCCTGTTGTTTTGTGTTTGAGGAGCCCTACTTTACGTTTATAATCTGTTGTGCTTTTGCTAGGCCATCATCTGTGGCAAAGTTGGACAAGTGCCTGTGCAAAAAATTTTAAGGAATGGGCATACAGTAACTGTTTTTACCGTTGGAACTGGTGGCATGTTTGACCAGAGGGTAATTGGGCCTAATGATTTGCCGAAGCCAGCTCAGTGGCATCGCATAGCTGTTCATAATGACCAGCTAGGTGCTTATGCTGTTCAGAAGCTGGTGAAGAAGTATGTGGTTTAAATCAAAAGATCCTCTTTTTACCTTGAATACAACTATATCTATCTTTTTCGCCATGGATGCTTATATTTTTTCTTTTACCTTATGTCAGTTCTGCAGTCTATGTTGAGGGCGATATTGAAACCAGGGTCTACAATGACAGTGTTAATGATCAAGTCAAAAACATACCTGAGATCTGTGTTCGACGTGATGGTATGCTGATTCACACAAGCTTCTTTCCTAGTATGTTGATTAGTGAGACTGTATTCTACATAATTAGTTTTCATAGGTAACTCAATGGCAATGACCATTTTTTATGTCCTAACAATCACACAGCTATGTTTTTTTTTTTCAGTTGAAATAGGATGTCCTTGTATGGTAGCTTACATCTACCTTTTATTTTCCTGTCTCTCCATTGAACAAAAGCCTAATGTTTGGATAACTATTCTATGTGCAGGCAAGATTCGATTGGTTAAATCTGGGGACAGTGCTGCTAACATATCATTAGATGAGCTAAGTAAGTTCACTGATTATATTAAGATTTTGATATCGTAAGAAAGTACACACAAGCAACCAAACATATATGTTTGATTTCTTAGACAATCAAGAAAGCTATTTGATCTATAAACTCTGACCTTTTTGAATGGTATGTATGGAATTATAATTATCATTTTAGTGTCTACCTAAATTCATGATTTGGTAATACAGTTAACAGCATGAGAAGCTCCAAACATTTGAAATGTGGAAAGTCATTAGTACTTAATCATACACTTGAAAAATGGGAATGGCCATCCATATGCTACCTTTTCTGAGTCCAAGTTTTCAATCATGCAAATGATAATAACAATAGTCTTTGGTTGCAGGAGGAGGACTGTTCTAGCTATAGTTAAGGATCTCAGGAGTATGCTTCTAGCTTGAGGCAAGTTTGAATATGTTTGTTCTTCTTAGTCTCAGCACTACTAGTATGGATTTTCATTCATTTGAGCTCTAGCTTATAGTGCCAAATTTACATATCTGCAGAATATTTGAGCCCTCAATGAAACATCTTCCTGTGTAATTTAGTGCTACTGTCTTTTCCATGTGATGCACATCTGTAATTATCCAGGCCTCCTTGATACTCATGTTGGCTTTCTTTTAGTAAAAAAAGAAGTACCCTTTGTTTCCAGTACTCTTCAAGTACCTTATGATTAATAATCAAGTAAAAGTTTGTAAAACTACTGTTCACTCTTCACACCATTAGAACTGAATAGTAAGAATTGACTCCTGACAGCAAATTATCAGAATAAATAAATTGAGTAAAAGAAACAAATAACCAAATTTATTTTCTAGATTTGAAGGGAAACAAATGCAGAAGATAAGAAAATAAAAACAGAAAATAAGCTAGATGTATCTCATGTGGATGGCACTTGATTCATGTAATGATCATGAAACCTCAGATTAATAAGATTGCTCGTATTTACACTTGACATGCTGCCTGTATATATATAAGAAAAATACTTATAGGACACAAACATTTAGTAGATTGAGAGGCTCTCACATCAATGCACCGACCTTAAGGCGACTGAAAGCATCTCCGTTGACAGTCCTCAACTGCGAAGGTTGTTACCTACCTTGCTATGCTGGGTGTGCCTTTGATGGTGTTGTTGGCCTCCTCTTGTCCCCTGACCTCCTCCTAAGCATCTCCTTCATGCCATCAGCTACCCGGACAGCTGGGCTTGACAGCGGCATCCTGCAGAATTCCATATGAGCCTTGATAGCCTCTTCAATTCCATCCTGGCTGTTCCTGTGTTTGCTGAGTTCATCCCTTACAGCCTCTGAGCATAAGCCACAGAGCCATTTCCCTCCAAAGTTGCCCTTGACATTGTCTATGTATTCCTGGGTGCAGTCTTCTTTGAGGCTACAGCAAGCACACCTCACCGATTCAATGTCCATCTTCAGTGCGCATGAAAGCAAGGTCTGTGAACCAGCAGAAGCATAGAAATAGAGCTGGAAAGCGATAGCAAGCAAGGTAGAGGGGGACAATAGATACCAGCAGGGGAACAATTGGGGCCTCATCCCTCTGGACTAGGTTGCTACTTGTATGGAAAAATTGTACAGCTTGTCTTTTCCTCTGGATTGTATTGCTTAGCTCTGATCGATGATTGAAATTTCGTGATTTGCCCAGGCCCATTGTATTTTGAGCAGTGCACTAGCTGGTGAAGGCCTATGATCTGCGTTGATGGCTGCCGCGGTTCACATGGCTGTAACTGTTATGAAGGTACGAGTATCAGCAGAAGCCTGTACTCTTGATTTGAAGATGCAGTAAAACTTGGTTCGCTGCGTTTCTGCTTGCACTTCTTTTTCTCCTAGTTTTTCAACCGTACCTAAGAGTTCCGTTTATGAAGTAACTCCATAAATTTTTCTTGGAAGCAATAACAGGTCGTTTATGGTTTTATACCTGAAATTGGGTTTCATATGCTTGGTATGTTGGCCCTAATTACTGAACTTTTAACTTTGCTCACGTTACCTCTATCTATGGTTTGCGCTTTGCTGGCACTGGGCAGGCTAGCAACTCGTGTATTATGTCCAGATGAGAGGCTCTGTGGTGAGGTTGTTTTGCTGAATACTTGGATCATGAGATGGTTGAATTGAAGGAGTGCTTGGGTGAGAGAATTGCTCTAAGATGCAAGGTTAATGGACAAGAAAAAACGGTTTCCCCTTGCTTCCTCCGGTTTCCATCGCTCACCGGGAACGCAAAGCCTGCACTTCTCTTCCCTGCCCATGCCTATAGGCTTGGACGGTGCCGATCGAGACCCTAGCCAGTAGCCATGGCGGCATCGCCATCACTGGCCGTGCCGCCGTAGATTTCAGTCGACGGTCGCTCTTCGCCATGTTCCCGGCCTCCCGGGCCTCGTCAATGTCTCCCTGTCCGTCGAATGGAAATTGGCAAATTGCACCCGGGAGTTCTCACCGAGAGGACAAGACAATGCAAAGAGAGGTCCCAAACGCTACTGCTACGCGAGCAAAGTGACAACGAATTGTTGTAGCTACTACTACTAGCATGATACTGAAGCAGATCGTCGGTCATCAGCTTGGCAGATTCCAAGCAAGGTGGTATAGTAAACGTTTCCTCTGCCCGAAACACCAGTAAAAATGGCAATGGAAGCCATGCATGCCGTTACCCTTACCTGCAGGGAGGAGTAGATGCGCACGAATAGTTGCCATCTTGTTTTCACATTCTCAACGACACAGTGACACACTGTCCGGTCTCGTTCTCGTCCACCTGCTAACACTCTTCTGTGCACACCGGGATGGGCGACGACTGACGACTGACGACAGGACACAGCATGCTGCCATGCACCCTAAATTTCACAGCGCCTGGAGCCCTACCTGCTCCCGATCGACCGCACCGTATACGAAGGGCCCGGGATCACGGCGCGTTGGCGTACGTGCATGTGCCGTGAACAGACGCCTCGCCCTGACGCCCTCGACCAGGTCTGCCTCCAAGGCCAGCCCCGCGCCGCGCGTGCACGATCGCCATCGCGATCGCGAGCCGCGCCAAACCTGCTGCGTGTGCCGCGCGCATTTCTTCCGGGGACGTCGACGCACGGTCACCGGCCGCGCGGCGGGCACCTGAGAGGCTGAGACAGCGCCCTCTGCGCGGCGGAGACGTACGCGTCACGCGTGGTATGTTGAGCCGTCCGGCCGGCCAGCCGGGTTTCTCTCTCGCCCGGACCGGGGGCCGGGCAGGCCATGTCCATGTGCCCGCGCGCGCCGCGTCGGGGGTCACGGGCCGGCCGCAGCAGGCACGCGTGGCCGCGCCCTGGCGTTTGGCGCGTTCCGCGCCGCGGCTCCGACAGCCCGGTGGCCATACCCTCGGGCAGCGCCTTGCTGCATGCCTGGGCGCTAGCTCACTGCCGCCTCCACGTGAAGGCTTCAGTTCTCGCCGCGCACAGGGATGGTCGATCCGCCCCGGCGCGCCAAGATACGCGGCCCGCGCTCACGGCACCGATCAGACGATCCCGTGCGTACCGTGTCGGACGCCGGACAAGTTTCCGAAATGGTCCTGGATATTGGGATGAGACACTAGCCTCCAGTGTACCTGTCGTCGGTACCGCACATCCAAACAGTGGGAGACCAAAAGATGCGTGCAATCGACCGAGTTGTAGGATGGGCCATGAATTTTCGTACAGGTGGTCGATCTCCTTCAGCTGCCTGCAGCTTTCATTTTTTCTAAGGATCCATTCTTCTACAGCCTGTTCGGGAGGCCGTATCGTATCGTGGATTATTTACTACTGGCTGGTTTGATGTGAGAGAAAAACACTGTTTCCGGCTAGAAATTTACGATCGTTTACAAGCAGGCTGCTGGTTTCTGGATGGCCCACCGCCGAAGGATTGTACGAAGTGAACAAACAAAGAATTGGCGAGAGGCAGGCAGGGTGCCATTTTATTATTTGTATACGTTGTACACACATGGATTCATTTATCGCCTTGTTTGGATGCACGTGCATTCGTTCCCCTCCACACGTGTTGGAGTGGAATATAATGGAACTTAGTTTAATTCTACTTCAACATATGTGGATTGAGATAAATATACGTGCATGCAAAGCGAGGCCTTATTTGCAACTTGCTGGATTCTGGATGCCACGACACATTCAGACATCCTGCACGTACCAAGCGGGCGGACACGTGCGTTCCATGCAGATGCTGAGACGATGCATTTCCTCAAGCACGATTCGCTCACCTGGACGGCTCGACCCAACTGCAGTCGTGCTCAGGAGTTTAGGACCCTCGCGCTCGTGCCTACGTGCACACCCGCACACACCGGCAGTATACCATAGTACCATACCAAGACCAGTCAAGCATGTCGCCCAGGACGGCGCAAGCCGTGCCCCTGGCCTTGCCCGTGCTCCTCGTCCTCCTCGTGTCCGCACGCGCAGCGGAGCCGGAGGAGGAGCAGCGCGAGGAAGGCGTGGACCCCGAGGTGACGGCGTGCAGGCAGCAGTGCGCGCGGCAGCGGTAGTTCGGCGCGGCCGAGCGGCGGTACTGCCTGCGCCAGTGCGACGAGTACGGCCGCGCCAAGCGCCGGGAGGAGGGCGCCGAGCGGGAGCGCGACCGCTGCCTGCACGAGTGCCGCGCCGGCCCGCCAAAGCCCGGCTGCGAGCGCCGGTGCCTCGAGGCGTACGAGCCGGCCTGCCGGGTTGGTGGGCGCGGGGACGCCGGCCCGCGAGATCTGGCCTCCGTGCCGGCCTGCCGGGTTGGTGGTGGCAAGTTAGAGGCCGCTGTGGCACTGGCTGCTGGCAGTGGCATGATTCCTGGAATTCTGATCCTGTGGAAGATTACGTGCATAAATAAAAGTTAAATTCTGCTTTTCTTTTCTTTGGGTGTTATTTTCTTGTTTCGTTTATCGTCGTCGAACTCATCGGCATCCAGAAAAATCCTAAGGCCTCGTTCGTTTCTTACGGAAAGGCCCGGATGGAGACCCAATCCGTCCGGATCAGAACAACCTGGAACAAAAACCCGCCCATAAAAGATTGCAGTTCGGTTAAGCTTGGCCTAGAACGGAATCTGATCCGTCTTAGACATTCTACGTGATCTACGGCCAGGTTTACTTCCTTGTCTCTTGATATCCGGAACCAAATCACCTGGATCCCACTTGTTCCCCTCCTACAACCATTCCTGCTGCAGTTTCATTCCTAACAAAACGAAGGCCTAAGGTAGGTGGCATTCGGTATTTCGGTTTGCATCATCAGACGGACTCGGCTGCCAAGCGCACGGGATTCGGGAACCCAGGCTACCATGGTACACACGAAGTCAGAAACCGACTCGTTTCTTGATCGGTTTCTTGGTCGACTCGTAGCAGTACAGGAGGTCTCTCCGTCTCCCACACCGTAGCTACGTATAAATACAGCCGCACCCCGCAAAGGCGCAAACCACGCAACCACATTCTCGCGTTGGTGGACCCGATCCCTTCCGTTCAGAAACGCCGGATCGCTTGATCCAACGGCCCCAACCCGCTCGTTGCGTTGGCAGCCTCACAACAGCGCCCGCCAGCGGCGCACGAGTCACGAAAAGAGCCGCCGCGCCTCCGACTCCGGGTCGGTGATCAATCGTCTCGTCTCGTCTCGGTGACCCGTCCGTCCGCCCACCGTCCTTCCCGCCGAAGAGGAGAGTGGGGGGTCTCGCGGCGCGTCCGACCGACCGGCCGAGAAGGTGCTCGCGGAGCTGGGCGGGAGCATCGCCCGCGCGCTGGCGCGGATGAGCAACGCCACCGTGGTGGACGAGAAGGTGCTCGCTGACTGCCTCAACGAGATCTGTCGCGCGTTCCTGCAGGCCGACGTCCGCTTCGAGACGGTCCGCGACGTCAAGGCCAACATCAAGCGCATCGTCAACCTCGACGCGCTCGCCGCCGGCACGAACAAGCGCCGCATCATACAGCAGGTACGCACGCACGTCGCTAATAACTTCCCTCGACCCGCCCCCTCGCGAGTCGCGAGTCGCAACCGCAGTCGCAGGCCCTAATTCGATCGGAGCCTACGGAGCGGGCGGCGGACGGAGGGCTAATCTCTCTGTCTGTTGCGTGCTTGCAGGCCGTCGTCGATGAGATACGCAGGATGCTGGATCCCGGGAAGCCGTCCTTCACCCCCAGCAAGGGGAAGCCTAATGTGGTCATGTTCGTCGGCTTGCAGGGTCAGTATCATTCATCTGCCCAATTGCTCGTTACATCTTACATAGTAAAATTTGTATCGGAAGTTTGAACTTACGGACTTACGGTAGAAGATGGTTGTCTGTGTTCATTGTTTATTTCCGAACGCCTGCGATAAAATATCACAAGGTGTTTGTTCGAGAAGCAACAAAGCACTCATGTTAATCATGTAGTTGTTTCCTTTTTCATGTTTTTATTGGGTGTCTTAATTTCTGATGATAAGATGTATATATGATTCAAATGCTTGAGGCTGTTATTTCAAAGGTTTCGGACCGTGTTCAGAAGAATTTATGAAGGGGTTAGAAAAGTATGAATGGCTGTGATTTGGATCGCTTTGTTATTTTTTTCTGAAATTTTTGATACTCCTGTT